AAAAAAAAAAAAAAAACCTGTAAACTAAAGCAATTTTTTTTTTTTTTAATGACAGTCATTCTTATATAGTAATCACTGAATTACAACGATACTGACAAAAAATTTAAGTGAAATTTCTGAAGAGAACAATGCACCTCTATCCAAGAATATCAATTTTTTTTTTTTTTTAAAAGATCTTTCATTGTCACACTGTACATTATTCCAACTAAAATTTTAAAATTGAAAAAAAAAAAAATAACTAATCACTTGAAATTTAGCTGTTAAATTAATAATAATTGCTCTAAAAAGTTTATTTGTTACACAGTAAACCTCTGCTACAAAGTAAATTTATGCTCAAAATGACAGAATCTGGAGAACCAAAATTGTGGAAGATTTGACCAAATTGCAAAATTTTTATTTCAACTCACTTTTTCTACAGCCATCAAAAAAATGATTAATAATCTGTTATTAATTATATTAAAAAATTATTTTTTTTTTTAGAAGCTTGAACAAAAATAAAGTTTTGAACAAACAGAGATGGGAAGTACAGAAAATGATATCAGAACGAGCAGTAACTTCAGACTCTCCTTTCAAGTAGAATTCAAGCTCATTAGCCGTATCTCACTCGTACAGTGCTCTTAACATACACCCATCTGAATTCTCTGCTAAGTCCTTCATGAACACTCACTTCTACTTCAGGTCTCAACAACTTATGACATACAGCATTTTCATGTATAAAGTGCTTCTAAACTAAATAAGCTATCAAGTATAACTTAGTGCATACCTTTATGTCAAATATCTTTTCCAGTAGGTCACCTTCTTATACAGTTAAATGGAAAAGTCTTCGTAAAAACTAGACAAACAAAAGGTCACGCCAGATTTTTATCTCCCGCCAAACAAGGAGTCATCAACGAACTAATCCAGCAAAACGTTGGCCAAGGCAGGGCGTTAATCTTCTGTAGTTACTTTCTCACCGTCTACTTTCCCCCGCTTACCGTTCCCCTCCCAATAAAACAATATCTTTTTCAAAGCAGTCCCTAAACTCCGTCCTTGTCGATTTCTTAATCTAAGACCCCCTAGGAGAAAATAATTAGACAAGCAACCTGACGTACCACCCTTCTCTGTCTAAGGAGTTGAATTCGGGGCGACTTCAAAATGTTTCCTCAGGATCATTCGCTAATAACTGTAACTATCCTCCTAATACAGTTTTTTAAAGCAGGAATGCTGTAATTTCACCTTCTTTTATTTGGCGCAATTGAGGATCTTTACATGTGTCATCAGTTGGGGACGATTTGCATACACCTCACTGAACGCTAAAGAAAATTGAAATTTAGTTGATGAGCCAAAACTGCCCGAGACCAAAGAAATCTCAGTATTGAAAGAGGAAATTGACGGAGTACGTCAAGCACCTGATTCCAAAGAAATTTTTTGTCGAAGCCCACACGTTGCTACACAGTTTACAACAGCACTCAGGTCCGAAACCGCTAAAGAATGAAAGAAGTTTTTGCACGAAAAGCAACACGCAAAAAAGCGCACCCGTCTGTAACAGCTGTCTTTTTCAGTCCTAATACTCAAGCTCTAGACTATCAAACTTGATAAACTACTGTAACTGTCTTCATCCATTTTGTGAGATTCACTGGTGTTATAAATTTAACTTACCTCTTCAACAGAAGCAGCTATTTCTAAGAATAAAATGATTCACAGCTCTACTCCCTAAATGCTTCAAGAATACTTAAATTCTAATTTTCACATGCCGAATGACACTCCAGACAGCCTCCAGATTATGACTATCTGAAATTTATCGGAACATAGATTCTTTATTCACGACCACAGGACCCCTGGACAAGTAATAAATATTCATAAATAAGCTCATTATGTGCATCAGAAAAGCTTGTGGGTTAGAGAGGTCTTATATTTTGAATAAGGTAGTCTTTGACGCGCATAACGGGCTAAAACGAAAAATCTGAAATATGAAATTACAATTCTAAACAGATGGGGAAAAGTGATACAAATGAAAAGGTGCCGTCAAAACACAATATTTGCATGATGCAAGGGAGACAATTACAGTAGGACTTCACTACACTCTATTGTTTGGATAAGCACAACACTGCAACAAAACGAAGGAAACTAGCAGCAATCATTAGTCTGCTATTAATAAGCAACGAAGAGTCTAAAAGTCGTATCTTGACTGCCTGCAAACCTCTTCAATTGTTTGTCAGTGAACCTTCCCATTCGGTAATCAATGAGTAGATGCTGCTAGTTTCCTTCATTTAACCAGCGTTCACAGCGGAATGCTAAGACAGCCGCCAAAAGTGTATCTCACGAATGCTCCAGCGACATCTTCTCATCAATACCAGTTTTTCACAATCTATTTAAAAATGCTGCTTTATCACGTTGCAGCAAGTTTTGCACCACTGGCATCACATGCGACAAATTTTACTCTGTCAACGGTATTCTCCATCGGTCTAGTAGAATCTCGAAACTCAACCTCTTCCATCACAAAGGTCCATACATTGTCGCAAAAACGATAGGCTCGCAATTTGTTGGCCTGAAAAGTATTACGAGCACATTCCTACCCAGACAGATTAACAAAGCACCTTCAACATGAATTTGGTTTAGTAACCAAAATACCTTTCACTCTCTAAAAAAGTGCTAAAATGAAAAAAGTCAATCGGGTCTTTTCATCAATCAACAAACTTTTAATCCTACCAGGCAGATTTCAAATTTTAACGTGAAGATACTACTGATAAAGGCAAAATACAGGCTCAAATGACTGTTATTCCTAATATTAGTTCCCCGCTGAAGTGAATACAACTCCAAAAAAAATCAAAAAAAAATCCACACTGCTAGAAGAACTAACCAGAAAAAACCAAGGGGTTCATTTTCCAAAAGTTTTTGAACAAATCTCAAAGGCAACAGATTTTTACAAAAATTTTCACAAATTGACTTCATAAGCCGTTTGTGGACTTATCATTCCATGTTCTACATCTTAACCTACGTGTATTCCTCCTCTGAAGAGACCAGTTCTTTAAAATTTACTACAGTGAAAGACTAGTTATTCTCACCAACAGTTACTCTCAGACCATTTATTTCAACCCACTATCCTCAACTGCCTTCATTTTCCAGACAGTTTAGACTCATTCTTCAAAACTATTATTGAGAACCTTAAAAACAAAAAAAAATTTCTATAAATTTCCCAGATTTCTCTTCTTACTGCACCTGAATATATGATAGATTTCAGAGTTTCAACTGCACAAACAAGACATCTGAAAAGCTTTATATGACTAAAAAACTTCTTGTTATATTACGGTAATCTCATTCGATTTTTTAAGAAATCCAAGCTTTTAATTAGCAAACAAGAGACCTTAGCAGAACTTTATTAACAGTTTGTTGCAAAACAAAGCGGAAAGCACCGTTATCAGCTTAAAAAATCTATCTTCCCTTGTTTCCTTCCTTACCGAAAAGGTGCCGGTAAAGAAGTAATGATAAAGTAAGTAATAATCAAACGTTGCATACCTTAAAAGTTATTTTGTTCTTCACACGCTGTGAAAGTGCTTTATTGATGCTTTTATCAAAAGTAACCATGACATTCTGTGCTAGGCTAGAAGAGATTGTGCCATCCTAAAAATGTTCGCATTATGAAAAACTTCAAGGAAAATCAATGCGTAAAGGTACGATATTCGGGAGCTAGAGGAAGCAATTAAATGTCAGGCTGTACACATCAGCTGATAATAACAAGAGAAAACAACTGTTACGAACTTTGAAAAAGCATCGTAAAAAACTTACCTCAACAAATTCATCCAATGTACTCCTCAGCGCCCTGCCAAGCGTTGTCGTCCTGTACATCTGATATGCCATTGCCAATTTAGTTCTATCTTTTCACTAATAAAACCAATCCTGCCAAGTTAACAATTATAACCTTCAGAAAAACGAAATAAAATGAACTGACAGAAACGAGCAAGCAGGACTTAAATGAATCAAGTCCATTAAAACAAAAATATGTCAAGACCTCCTTGAGGCCGACCGAGACACAGTTACTTCAACAAAACCACTAAGCAGCTCTCTCAATGTCGAAAAAGCTCTACAGTCAAAAAAACCAAGTCCAAAATAACGAACTAAATTTGAAAAAACTATATTTATATTTTACTGAGCTACCCTTTCACCTTGACACATCCAGTCCGAAAGATAATTTTTTTGTAGCTAAGGCTTCAGCACAACGCTTGCCCGCACAATATATTTTTTAAAACTTAATTAGAATCTATACCTTACCGCAGCCTCTCTTAACTAAAACGTTATACAATGAGCACAAATCCAGTCTGCCACTCGGCACTTAGGGTACAGTTTTTGTTCCAAATCGCCTTCTACTCCTCAATTACCGCTCTTTCAGCAGCACGCGCCAAATTTCACAGCAAGACTGTACAGATCACACCATATCAGTAAATTATCACTTACACCTCCTCAACACTTAAAAAAGTGAAAAGAATACTATTTAAATTTGTGATGCCCACGCCATGATGACTTTTTTAACCCTGTTTTTGATTTCTTAGGTTGTTTCTCGTGTGCACAATGTATACGAACGTGTCCAACTACTCAGAACCCCTTCTAGAAACTCTATAAAATTCGTCAAAAGTTTAGTGTTGTATAGTGTTATTTATTTAACTTTTCTACACGACAGATTAATAAACACCAGATTTAATGCTTGCATTGCCATTCTAGGCTTGTCATCTCCTGGGTCCAGTTTTAATTCTAGCTCCCCTCCGAATGCCGCAGCAGTTTCGGTTCCCTCCTCAACAGCAAAAAGCGGTCTTTGTAATGTAATTGTCTGATGCTAACCTCTACAACTTTGGATAGAACCACCTCTCAGCCTCTGAAGCGAACTTTTAAAAACCTCCACTTGAAGAGAATTACATGACAGAAGTAATTGAAACCAAACTGTTAAACCCCTCTAAAAAATATTTAGAAACTATCACAAAAAGAGAGCTCATCAAAAAATATCGCTTCTCTAAGTATCAGTCCCTTCAGTTCATTAAAATGCATTACATCACCTTTTTTGACAGTGCTGCGAGAAGTAGCTAAAATCCTTTCTGACTACTTGCAGAAAGTAAGAAAAAAACTAAATATACACCTGAAAAAAGCAGGAGCAACATTCGAATCGTCGTGACAACCAAAAACCGTCAAAAAATGGTCAATTTTCTAAGTCAAAAGAAATGCAGTATAAAAACTGAGCTCCGCACACAAAGGAAGTTTTAAAAACATCAAAAATCTCACAGGTACTAAATATCCGTCGAATAAACATTGTTCAAAGATGCAAAAATTTAAAAAGTTGCTCAGAAATAATTCTTAAGAAGTAAAGAAAGTACTCTCAAACGTTTCAAAAAATATAAAAAGCAAAAACAACGAGTCCAGAAAGGTCAACTAAAAAAAAAAAAAGGCCAAGAGAGTTGGCAGACGGGAAAAAATCGTTGGAGATGGAAATAAGAATGTTAAAGAGAAAGTTGCTTAACTGAATGATTTCTTAAACTTTAGAACGATTACAATATCTCCACTGTTAACAGATTATATCATGCTTTTAAAAGATCCGAAAAACTTCCAGTCATACTTTAAATGAATCTATAACAACTGACTAGCAGTATACAGCTCAGATTGCTTACAATTACTAAAATATCCTTTTTTACCTCTTTTCTTGCAAGTATCTAATCTAGCTTTACCAACAACGAAGCACGGTTAGATTTAATAAAAAAGAATTCTACAGCCAGAAGGTGACAGGGACAAAATGCTGGACAAATAAATTCAGAAACCAAGTGGACAAAAGAACATCACTTCAAATCAACAAATTAATATACAATTTGCGAAAATTGAAAAATTGCCAACTTTTTTTGTATTTATTTACAATAACTGCACATCAAAATTTTCAAAACAAAACTACTTTTTTTCAGCTTTTTTCGGGTGAATTCCTGCAAAGCAACTAGTTCTGCTTTTTGGCAACAATCCACTGTGGTAAGTGGTTGGCTTAAGGTACTATTTGGACTTCCTCAGTCCATTTCTTTAATTAATGCTTTTTTGGATGTTTTTTAATTCAACAATTTTGACTTTTGATTCTGTTGAAATTTAATTTGGATTAACGGAGCATAAAATCAGTCTTCACTGCAGCGGTTTCTGTAAAAAACGTTTTCATTTTTATCGCGGTTTGCCGCATCCTGCTAGTCTTCGTCAGTAGCTGGGCCAATAAAACTTACTGTTGAAGAATGTCCAGATTCTAGACTAAATTTTTAGCTTCCTCAGATTTCTTTCTTTCAATTTATTAAAAAAATTGTGAGGGAATGTTAAAACTTTGAAGGGGATTTGATTAATAGTAATAAGATTCTGCATTTTTAGCCTTGTTACCTCGTAGGGTTTAACTTGCCATTTATGGTTTAACTACAATTCGTTTAAACCTCTCTCCTACTAACTGTTTTTGCTGTGCATGCTTTGAACAGTTCCTGCACAAAAAATAATTTTTTTGTTAACATTGTGAATGAGAATTTGATATGAAGCCTTGAAAAGTCACTGATTTTTCAAAGATTTTTCAACAAAAGTAATACTTTGTTGTTGATTTATGGGTAAAAACCCTGAGATAACAGTAGATCAGAAACTTTTTTAATGCAGTGAACTTGCTGCAGCTACAAACTGCTACAGTCGGGGTATTGATAGCAGGCAACATTTCGGTTGAAAGAGAAAGCAAAACTAGCTGAGAGTGACTTCAGATACATTATGCAAAGTGAATTTGGAAGACTTTCAGCTTGATAGCCGTGTATTTTTCAAGCTTATTAAGCAAGGTTAGCGCTCAAATAGCAACATATAGG